ACATCTTAAGACGTGCGTATTCCTGTGACAATTTATCACAGGATACGGATATCTTGCATGTAATAAAGTAGATCGTCATCTTGAATTTAAATATGCCGGGTTGTTATTTATTCGGATGGCACTTCCAGAACCCCGTAGTATATCCGAACGTACGGTCTAATTTTACCGTGCCCCAACCCGTATAAGGCGATTTCTCTTTAACCCTTTATTACGGACTAAATCGTGTTAACTGTTTTGATTGGATTAGAGTACCACACAGCCCTAATTCTATCATTGGTCTTGATATTTCCACGTGCTGGAGTCCTTGTCTTGCAATGACCGCATAGCATTTGCACAAAGTAGGCCCGGGACAGGGACGCTCACGCCCGTAACGCGGCCGAATGACGATCAATCGATTCCTGGTACCGTCAGATGACGTGTGGGAAGCGCACCCGACGCCATTGCAACACTTGTTACATTCGCTCTCCTTATTGGCAAGATTTTTTTCTTCGCCCGTTGTTTGTTCAGTCGCCGAAAATAATTATACAAAGGAAATGAAACTCCAGTCCAAGATGGTAGAATCGTGCACTGGCCTTCAGCTGTAGGCCGAACTGCTCGTGAACCGGTATCAATATTATAAGACTTCTTATGGCTCTTTTTTTAAGTCCGCCGAGTTATTACAAAAACTGCTTTCTTAAATTATTTAAAGAATGAAGAACAGTGAATGCTGTTACGTTGTAAGATATTTCTTCATTAGTCTATTTGTCGCATTAAAAAGTGACCCGGGTATTTCCTGAATCAGATATGGCTCTGTTTATTTTGTTCCCCACTTTCTTCAATGATAAACGAATCTAAGTAAGAGAAATAAATTCTGTGGGGATGAAGGATTATATTGTCCCGCTAGTACCCATAATGTGAAGAGAGATTTTTAAAAAATAAATAATGTACGAAGAACACCAACGAGATACATTCTGTAATCTTGATGGGTAAGAGCAACTGTAGTAGTACTAGCGTTTTCAATTTCTTAAAAAGAGGGATAACTTCCCTCCTCCGGGGAGAGACTTAATAACCCCCTGCCTTCACCCCCCCCCCACCACCACTTGCCCATCAAAACACCACTTGCTGGAGTGAATATTTCCGATGTTTACGGCTGGAACACGGGAGTCGAAAACGTCCGGACATGATCTTGATTTTCAGGTCTCACTTGGTGATGTGTACACCATACGTTGAAGTAACAGGTTTGGCCTGTTCAAGTTGATGGACTTCATACGCGTTCAGCTGATGGAGAAATGTCTACCTTGAGCGCCAAACCCAACACTGAAAACTGTCCACATGGGATCTTCTGAACGATGCAGGTAGAAGCGGTTTACTTTCTTAGAAAACGAGGATGATACGACTAGGCTTTCGTCATGCAGGGAAACAAATATTAAATAAAAGAACTCTTCGACCCAGTGGTGCACCATCAAAACGGATCTTCTTGTTTGCTCGCCCTTTCGTTGTCAAACTGATAACTCAGTTATCGTGTTTTTCTTTTATATTGATACACTTTACTTTAATTCAATTCTGAAATCCTTTATTCAATTTGAAAGAGGTGGAAATAAACCAAGAGAAAGAGTTATTGTTAATTCACATGTTGTGCAAACTGCAAACACGTCATACTTCTGTTGGGTAAATGCTCCTTTCGTGGGAGTAAATTACATTTGGAAGATTCACTTTGCTAGTTACCTTCACACCAAAACGCTCACACCATTACGCCTGTTTTCAATATCTGGTCTCTTTTTGTTTCGAAAGACAACTTGCCGCGCAAGGACCTTCTAAGGACGTAGACGTAGGTCCTGACACAATTGTTTCTAAATGTTTTTTTTTGCGAATTCCATGGCCTATAAACACCCCTCACTACAAAAGGTTTGACCAAAAAAAAAGGCATTTGTAATTTGGAAAGATGTAATTAAGTGAAACGAAAGACAAACAAAACAACAAATTCGTGGGCATCCCCTTGGCGTTTTTCCCATGTCATGTTTTGATAGAATTATGCTTCGAAACGTCGGATGCATCACTACTAAAATCGTGTCTCCAAAACACATAATATTTTTGTTCCGTCGAGTCAGTCGTGAATTTGTTTTGCATTTAGTAAAAAAGTGCTCATCTTTGGCAAGCATGTTGTACCCAAGTTGTTTTGGATTAGTGGACAAGCAACTTCTGGATTTTGGTTCTATGCAAAGATAACAAGAATTTTTCTTGGCGACAAAACCCATTTGTTTTCCATTCGGTAATATCATTTGATAGAACGTTCACCCAATCACAGTGCTGCTTACAACCCAACTTTCGTGTGACACGGGCGCACGGTGTTGGCAAGCGGAAACTAGTGCAGATGTCCATTTGTGATTCAAAACAGATTTACAGCTTTCTTGGATCGAGAGGGTTCTCAAAGGGGCCACGTTCGCCATGCGCTTCGACCCTAGTGAATCGCTAAAACCAGCTGCAACTGCAGATACCACACGGCAGACTTTGTTTATGAAACAACTATCATTTTGTACTGCTAACAGCATGTAATCCGGTTTACTTTTTCAAACTGACAGGTGAATGTGGGATCAAACCACGATTCTAATAACCATTAAACATGTGGTCAATTGTATTTCATTTTCTTCAGCCGATACATGTAATAAAATTCTCTAAAAGTATCCATGTTATTAAGAATAAGATTCTAAGATTTCTTTCATAAAAGGAAAGTTTCTGCTGGAACTTAAAAGAGTTTTTATTCAACTATCTCAACAGGTGGTCGAAATTTGGAGCCCTTTAAACAGTCTTTATAACTGTAACGAATGCTTGTGCGTCAACACAACAAAACATGTGGGTTTACCCATCCAACAGTCAATACCTGATATTGTCATTATTTTAAAGGGGGAGCGGAAATGTCGCTTTGGTTGGCAACTTGATCTCTGACCTAAAATGTACGCAACGTCGTTTGCACCTGGAGCACCTGTAACCGAGCTGGTAAACCCTTCCTGTTCTGGGATGAATATGGTGATGTATGCACTTGGTGTCTCTTTCATCAACGATGGGATCTCCACCTATAACGACTGGCAAGGATCAAACCTCGCTAACGTTAGAAATACGAAGCCTGCATAATAAAGGGCATTAGGTGTGCCAAAGAGGCTAGAAAACGTCAGATTCAGAAGTGAAAGAAAAGGTGTGAAGATTTTCTGCTGCGCTATAGCAAAATGCATCGAATGCTGTGATTGGTCAGTTATTAATTTTCGTTGACGAAGGACAAAAGCCAAACATTCACGGTACAACGACTACTTCATTTGAATATACAGCGGTAGTATCACGAGCCATGATGTGCGGACACTAATGGGCTGTTCTTTATTTTATTGATGTCGTTAATAATAAATGACCACATGTTCAGCTGTCCTGTCCGACCATTAGGGAAGCTCTCAGCAAATATCGTCTATTGACCACCTGCACTCACATTGTTGTTTTTCCTAGCAATTGTATGCACACTAATTTAGCAAAGTATTGCTCTGCAACTCGATTTTATCTTTAAATGTCATTCGCTGAAACGGTTGTGCCAATGTTGGGCAAGCGGATTAAACGATGGTCGACACTTTCATACGCAAAATGTAAAGCATTGTCGTTTCATTATCACTAACATTTGGACTATAAAAGTCACAACATTATTACAATAACAGCAAAATTTGCCAATGTTCCCGTCTTCAACTATTTTGGCGTGGCTACTTGGACTAGGCTTGTATTAACAAACAGCGAATCTTACACAACCATGGCTAATAATCAACAGAGACGGTAAACGTAGGTTGATCTTGGAATCTGACCTCGGAGGGATTAGTCATTTTTTTCGTAAACTAAAAAAAATAACGCACTCAAAACCGATAAAAACACGATACCATTCTATTTTCCAATCATATTGGCTGCTTAAGTCATGCTTTTACCGAGGTGATGCGACATAAAACTGTACCTAGCCTTCATTTCACAGTCCCTTTCGTTAAATTTACCCAAGGGATACATTTTCGAAAATCGAAAAGCAAGAATCTTTAATAATAGAAGGGAATGTTGGGATAACTCGGAGCCACAAAGTTCTTGGCTTGACGAATTTGATAGTGTCTATGGAAGTGTATGCGTTATCCGCTATCCCATGAAAGTCACCCGCAACGACGGTGCAGTTTCTAGTAGAAAGGTGATTGTATCACTGGTAATTTCAACACACGTGAAAAGCAAGAGAACGCATTTAATCGATACCGGCATCATCCATGCGGTCAATTCAGCAGTAAATCCGTCGTCAACATCCCAAACGAGATGTTCGTTTGATTCCATGGGTAATTTGAAAGATGCCTGGAGTTTGCGTCTAAATGCATTCTTTGGCACACTGTTCTCTTCTGAAAAAAATAAGGCACATTACTTTTTGCCCTAATTGCATGGATTTTGTGTCAGATTCAATTTCAGCAAACTGTATTGATCTCTGTGGACAGTCTGTTTTTCAAATGATTCTCGAGTGTCCCAGGCGAGTTGAATTAAACTGATTTATATAGATTTGCGTTCAACCTAGAAGCCAATTAATTTCCGATGTGATGTGTCGTAAAACATCCTAATGTTGCTAGCACTCATGTCATAAGATTAGACACAAACTGTTGACAAGAATGTTTCTTGCGCATAGCTGATTGCTGGTCGAGTACCTGAAATAAGTCTTCCTACACGGCCTTTAATTGTACATTCACAGTGTTTCTCTAAACAATCTGCAAAAAGTAAATCAGAACCTGCGAAAGACCGAATTTTTGCAACGGTCTGCGTCACTCAGCATGAGCATACTGCTGGGAAGATGTTACAGAAAATAACCTAAAATGTGCTAAAAAGTCATTTGCCAGTTTGCTTAGATACCAAAGATATGAGAAGAATCTTTACTAACCGGGTAAGTTTCAATATATATTTAGTGCAGTTAGCCGATGTATACCTCACACCAATTAAAGGCTGATTTCCAAAACATGTTACTAAAACAATGAACCTACCGGTTTTAGTTTGCTTTGGCGGAGATCAGAAAGCGTCAGTCGGCGTGAGCCAGGTAGAGAAACTCAGTCACTTGTCGTGATGGACAGAATCAACGCAGCGTACTGTCAGACGGAAGAAAACGTCAAGTATCTCGATAATTCCCTCTTGATACTGGACGAGCAATTTGCTCTTTGCGGCCTACAGCAGAAAGTTGCGCCCTTCTGACTTGCGCACCCAGTCTTGGCGGTTGAGTCGGAGCGTCGGAGCCAGATGTCACGTGATCTCTCGTTCTCCTTTTTCCAAGGCCCAGGACGCGATGAAGGGATTCGTTGCGCAGCGTGTTAACAGCGCAGGTAGGGGGGGGAGTCGTGATTCATATCAACTGATTAAAAGGAGAGTAGGTTTTTTTTTTCTGTCCCATGCGCGGGGAACGTCGGTTTTAGCGTGGAGGAAGTGCTGCAACCGCTAATTGCGACGCAATAAAATGAAGTGGGGCAAACACGCCAACTCCGGCGGTTATCTTCACTACTTTTAAGTCTCAAAGACTTGGGTGATGCAGATGTAAAAATGGCTGCTATGGTTTGCTTAATCCATGACGTGGTAATTCCAAGGGCGGATCCAGAACCCAAATTTTTAAGGGGGCCAGTTTGATTGGGGAGGGGCAAATGTTTTGCCTTTCTGGTGGACGAGGCTTCTTGTCGAGGTCGTTTAGCACGCTTTTGGAAGGGTGAGAAATGAAAAGACCCAAAAAAATCGTCTGTCTCTCATTTCTTTTCAAAACCAAAAGTTTTGGCTCTTTTTTTGGGGGGGGGATGACCGCCATTTCCTCCTCCTTCCCACTCAGGTTCACCGAGTTAAAGCTAAACCCAAGATATATTTATTTCTTCCGATTTCATCCCTGACTGGCATAGGCCTAGTTGATAAGCTAGGCCTATGTTTTCATGTTTTCGTTACGTGTGGAGGAGTCGCTGTGGTGGTACAGGCAGTGTTCATTACGGCTAACAAATCACTCCAGGAAGGTTTAACTCCGCGAACTGTGATCGGGAAAACGATGTGTACTATCCTTTAACAGTTCTCTCTCTTGATTTATTTTTTAAATCCGTCCTCCACTTTAATCTCACACTTTCGAGGGCGCTCATTTAACACCCCATAATGGAACCACTTCCGCATTGTCCAATTTGCATAAATCATACATTGCTGCCATACCGATATATAACCCCACGGGGGAGTGGAGACGTTTTGTTTTCATATGCCGTTACCTGATTGGTGAATAATTCAGTATGACGGCACACTTGACCCCCGAGGACCAATTGAGATTTCTGATAGGAAACAAGCCGGTCCGAGCGCATCCTAAGGAGAACGAGAACGGCATCTCAACTGTTGAGTTAGAGGCGTAGGCGAAAAAAAAGCTTTTAAGTGGTCGTTTCCCCAAACAGAATAGTCTTAAATTACGGAAGCATTGGGAAGGTCCGTTTGGAAATTAGACTATCACTCACTTTAAATAGTTTTGGGGTTCTTGTTTGTTTCTTTGTTTTATGTCGTTTGTCTCGTGTTTATGAGTTATTACTTCAACCTTACCCTACATTTTTATGGAATAAAAAACCTACCAATTAATCGTACAAATAGAGCTGGTACTGGGGTCTTCAATCACGAGTCGGCAATCTTGAATCGACAGTGAGGCGATACCAATGAACATTGTAAAGGCTGTATAGAAACGGAGATAGTGATGTATATAGAGGCAACTTATGCGTCTTTGTGTTATGGGAGGTAGTTAAAAATACTGGATATTATTTTCGAAAGTCAGGTAACTTCCCACTGCATGAATTCAGGGAACACGACGTAAATAAAGCTCATTTGTCAGGGGCTTATTAGAGGAGTCTTGAGGCGTCACACTCTCTATAAAGGCGAGACATGGGCTGAAGTGATACTGTTGCACATGTGATTTCGTGATGGCAAAAACGGCCGCCAAATCGTTATTTTCCGCTCTTCGTTTACTCTTCACTTTTTTTGTCTTTGGGAAAGTTCAAAATAGCGCCTCTTAAAAAGTAACCAGGTCTCACATCATTTTGCAAGCCAGACCAAAATGTCTTGTCGGGCTACGTTTGCAAGGGAGGTTGCCACTCCACACAAAATGACTTTTAGAGTTAGCTTTATTGGACTAAGCAAAAGAAGCAGTTGGATAGATATAATTATTATCAACCACTACGGCCACTACAGAGAAAAATCTTAAACAGAACTGGAAAAGACGATTTTATTAACACGTACATGCTTTTAGGGAATGGAGTAGGGTACCAGGCTATAATTGAATTTGGCACTTTTTATATTAAAGGACCATTGCAATGTAATGTTTTAATGCGGTTCTTGTAACTGCTCCTTTTCGTCCCATTTAACCTGACTTTTTTTAAGGGGAATTGCAGTGCCTTTTACATTTTTATGCTCATGAAAATTTGACTATTTATGGGCAAAACTGTGATGTCATTGTGTTTGTGTAGCCCAATTTATATCAAACGATTCGGAGGTTTTTTTATGCTGCCTGTTACAGGAACAGAGATACTATGCTAGAGACGGGAACCACGCAGCTCCGAGATGATTGTGACTGCCGCAAGCGGACGGCACGCACCAGGGCGACCCCGAACACTGACCCATGCCTGTCTATCACTGCTGATATAACAAGGAAACAATTGCCGGATTGTCAAGCGTTGTTTCCAATGATTTCATCTTGACGGAAGTTACACAACTCAACAATTCATGAGTTTAATATTAATTTTCGGCGCCGACTGTAATGTCTGGAAAAATAAATGCATCAACTACTGAAAACTCACTGAATGGTTGATATATGAATAAGGAAAAGACAGTATAAACCTCGTTAGTGGCTTCCTGTTAGGGTAACTCTGCTTCAATTTTCCGTGAATTAAATAGTTGTTCTTTCATTTCTTCTTGTTTTTATTCCATTCCCAATATTATTCAGTCCTTTGTGATTGACAAAAAAATTGACAGAAAAAACCATACATTTCCGATCCGGACAGTTTCAAGGACCTTTTGACAATCAACATCCCCTGTCTAACTTCGAACCAGTTTTCCATGCCCTCCCCATTTCTGATGAGATATAACTCGTCACAGTAACACACGATAAAGGTTAAATGTACTCTTGAGTGCAACGCAACGGAACCAGCAATTAGTTGGCTTCTCTAACGCTTCGATGGTATAGATGATTTAAGAGTCATCTTTGGAACACGGCTCATTAATATTTTTGTCAAGAACTCATCATTAGCAAACGGTTAAGCACTGGAAACAGGCGGTTAATAGTCATTTCGCATTTGCAACCGAAGAAAAAAATACCATTTCATTATTACAGAACACGCCTCCCATTAAAGCTTTCCAGAGTTTGTATCTAAAGACTAATGCTCCTCCATATAATATTTTAGATATCACGTATTGATTTGAATTTTGCTTAAATAATGTTTCACTCTGATATTTTTCAGTCCGAATATTCTGATTGAATATGCAAACTTCACATCTCATCAAGCAATTTACATTCACTGTGTTAAACACTAAGAACCAACACAACTAGCCTTGGGACGTCCAAAGTGCGTCTGTCAAAGACCACGGGGGCACGATTGAATTTCAGGTGGCAAAATGGTCTTTAAAAATACTTTCATTAATCAGAGTGCCTACGGTGCCCGTCATCGCGCCTTGGTTTCGAGGCCACTTCTCAGAAATCATTCTTTTGCTCCTCACTCGTGAGCAATCATAGGCTATTCTGTCTCTGGATCTCAAACTCTTTAAATTTTCAAACGACCGAGGTCCAAAATTAACGTGCAAAATAAACGATTTGTTTAAAAGCTTTGTAGATTCGATCACACTCTCCATCCCAAAATCCATGCGCGGCCTGTGGTTATAAATAGTTAAACATTTCAAGCGCGGATTCCAAAAACACGGGGAAAAGATTTTTAAGTGGACTGTGGCGTATCCAGTGGGGGCAGAGGGAGTAACTTGACCCCCCCAGCAAACTACGCCCTCCGCTGTACACTTGTTGACACCCCGACTTTTTTCTTAAAAAGCACCAGCTGCCATGTCATTGTTATTGTTATCGAAACATTGTACTACAGGTCCTTATTGAAATATTGTACTACAGGTCTTTATTGAAAAATATTATTTAAAGAATTTGAGCAAGAACGTTGGTTGACATTTATATATATATTGCCCTCAAAACACTAGTTTTATGAAGTATAAAATCTAGTCTGCTTAAATATAATATTTCTTTCATACTGACAGTAAGCTTTTAAGAGTATTTTGCCGAAATGACCTGTTAGTACTGAGCCGACGCAGCATTCCAGAATGGTGGAGTGGGGTTGGGGATTACTTCACGGAGTCACTTTGGGACAAAAACTCATATGAAGGCAGAGAGGACCCCCCCCCCCGCCTTTGTGTTGGTCATTGTTATACTGGTATCTCAAACATTCTTTTCAGACATCTAGGGAGATGTGTTAAGTAAGAATAGGCTGGAGTGTGTATAGGGACTAGACTTGTTGGGGGTGCCCCTCTGTCCCATTTCGTGCCTGGTATATAAAAACTTCATTGCACTCCCCCTACCCAAGACGCGAATACATCATTGTGCAATTACACGCACCATCGAATTTTATCAAGTTTACAGGATTTGCAAGCATGGAATTTAGACATTCAAAACGTACATCTTCACCTCTCCCCTGGCGTGAGTAAACCGAATCATTTTGGTTGTCATGGTTGTTGGATGTCGACGGAGATCATGGGGCTAAAATGCATCACGACTGAGCGAGCAGATCCCGGGAGACGGTCCCTGGTCATCGTGTTTACCAGCTGCTCAGCAGAGAGAAACATCCTGACTCTAGGCGGAAGTTTATTGTGAAAATGGGAAACTACATTTGTATATACAGCGAGGGCTAACGGATATTTCGAGCGATAAAAGGTATCAAACAGTTAGTACTGGGGATTGTTGACACAGAGAGCAGAAAATTCGCGCGATAGAGCGACGAAGCGCTGTTTTCGCAAACTTGAACGATTTTTTCAAAGATTCATTCCTCACTGAGGTTCTGAATTCTGGCCAATCAGCGGTCTCATATGGTATGACGTCACATCATCTCATGGAACTGGGACATCATAGTTACTTTTTGGACGATTTTCTTGAAGTGTATAGGGGGTCACTTGGAGTAAATTGTAATTTAAAATATTAAAATGTAAAACACAAAATTGTGTTCCCATTGTCTTAGAGGACTTTGAAGTTACTCAGCATACCAGGTTAACAGATTATTACGTAAAAGGGACGCCCGTTTATTGAGTTTGCTTATATAATAAGGAATAAAAGAAGTCAGGCAGTAGATACGTTGAAGATAAAAGTTGAGCTAAACTGAATGGAAACTTAAAGAAATCAGGGCAAATGATACAAATTTAAATTACTGCACTTCACCTAAACGTCCGTCACTTTTTCTGAATGAAAACAACGACTAGGCCTGATAGAATCCGCGGAAATACTCACCAAACCAACCACAATTAGTGAACGATCACTTAAAATGAACGACGTAACTGCAAAAGAATATGTAATCCACAAAACTTCTCATTCGGAAATGCCTGAAATCTGTTATTTCAAACCTTATTTTTTTAAAGAATTAAGTCACATTTCTTGTCTTTTTTTTTTACTTATTTTGTTCTTTTTGTCCTTGTAGACAGATCCTATACGAGCGGAAAAAAGGTCTTCTGGGAAATGTCAAAAACCANTCCTTATTGAAATATTGTACAACAGGTCCTTATTGAAACATTGTACAACAGGTCTTTATTGAAAAATATTATTTAAAGAATTTGAGCAAGAACGTTGGTTGACATTTATATATATTGCCCTCCAAACACTAGTTTTATGAAGTATAAAATCTAGTCTGCTTAAATATAATATTTCTTTCATACTGACAGTAAGCTTCTAAGAGTATTTTGCCGAAATGACCTGTTAGTACTGAGCCGACGCAGCATTCCAGAATGGTGGAGTGGGGTTGGGGATTACTTCACGGAGTCACTTTGGGACAAAAACTCATATGAAGCAAACTATGAGGCAGAGAGGACCCCCCCCCGCCTTTGTATTGGTCATTGTTATACTGGTATCTCAAACATTCTTTTCAGACATCTAGGGGGATGTGTTAAGTAAGAATAGGCTGGAGTGTGTATAGGGACTGGACTTGTTGGGGGGTGCCCTCTGTCCCATTTCGTGCCTGGTATATAAAAACTTCATTGCACTCCCCCTACCCTAGACGCGAATACATCATTGTGCAATTACACGCACCCTCGAATTTTATCAAGTTTACAGGATTTGCAAGCATGGAATTTAGACATTCAAAACGTACGTCTTCACCTCTCACCTGGCGTGAGTAAACCAAATCATTTTGGTTGTCATGGTTGTTGGATGTCGATGGAGATCATGGGGCTAAAATGCACCACGACTGAGCGAGCAGATCCCGGGAGACGGTCCCTGGTCATCGTGTTTACCAACTGCTCAGCAGAGAGAAACATCCTGACTCTAGGCGGAAGTTCATTATGAAAATGGAAAACTACATTTGTATACGCAGCGAGGGCTAACGGATATTTCGAGCGATAAAAAATATCAAACAGTTAATCCTGGGGATTGTTGACACAGAGAGCAGAAAATTCGCGCGATAGAGCGACGAAGCGCCGTTTTCGCAAACTCGAGCGATTCATTCCTCACTGAGGTTGTGTATTCTGGCCAATCAGCGGTCTCATATGGTATGACGTCACATCATCTCATGGAACTGGGACATCATTGTTACTTTTTGGACGATTTTGTTGAAGTGTATAGGGGGTCATTTGGAGTAAATAATAATTTAAAATATTAAAATGTAAAACACAAAATTGTGTTCCCATTGTTTTAGAGGACTTTGAAGTTACTCAGCAAACCAGGTTAACAGATCATTACGTAAAAGGGACACCCGTTTATCGAGTTTGCTTATATAATAAGGAATAAAAGAAGTCAGGCAGTAGATACGTTGAAGATAAAAGTTGAGCTAAACTGAATGGAAACTTAAAGAAATCAGGGGAAATGATACAAATTTAAATTAGTGCACTTCACCTAAACGTCCGTCACTTTTTCTGAATGAAAACACTAGGCCTGATAGAATCCGCGGAAATACTCACCAAACCAACCACAATTAGTGAACGATCACTTAAAATGAACGACGTAACTGCAAAAGAATATGTAATCCACAAAACTTCTCATTTGAAAATGCCTGAAATCTGTTATTTCAAACCTTATTTTTTTAAAGAATTAAGTCACATTTCTTGGCTTTTTTTTTACTTGTTTTGTTCTTTTTGTCCTTGTAGACAGATCCTATAGGAGCGGAAAAAAGGTCTTCTGGGAAATGTCAAAAACCGATTCTGTGTATTGACGAGTATGCATAACACCAACTACATAAGTCAATTCAGCATGTCGATCACTTCTGTCAGAGTAATATTTCTTCCATGAAGTTGTTTACATCTTCTTTGATTGGAAAGGGACCGGACTCAAGGGAGTTGACATAATAAGTTCTCAGAAAACTTGGCCTCGGACGTCCAGTTGACGATGATGGATATTGCGCTTCACGTGTGACTCTGCCTTCAAAACACAATTACTCTGTGGACGTGAGTAGGAAGCAATCTCGCGAGAGCAAACGTTACAACTTCTGAAATCGTCCTGTAAAAAGCTGTTGGGCCAGTTCTCGATTCTCACTTCCATATTTCAGCGTAATTCGATACCGACTTTGTTAGGCTGTGCAGAACATCAGATTCGTTGGACTCAAACCCACACAGGTCAATGCGTCCCTGTTAATTCTAATGACGCTGTAGGCCTATTTCTGCTTTAAAAAGATCAAGCCTCTTTTATACTTCTGGCTTCATTTGGTCTAGTCTCCTTGCAATAGGAGGCGGTCTTTTCCTTGAATTTATTGCAGATGTCTGCAAACGCCATTGAGGTCATTTGACTAATAGCTCGAGAGACAATACCCCAGCTGTGAGGTAAAATGGTTTCCTTCGGTATAAAATGACTATCTAATGGACTTTCCTCATAAAAGTTGCACACAGACGGCCAAGTAATATAGGTCAACTGAAATAATTCGTGCGCTGTTCACGCTGATTTTTCTGGCAGCGCCAGAGGGAGTGATGATTTGACGATTGAGAAATTAGCAGCTTACTAATGGTCGTTGAACTGAAAGCACTCTAGTTTATCGGTCACATTACGCCGTCAGCCACCTGTCTTTGCAATTCAAAAAACGCTCTTTGGGGGAAAACAGATCCGTTAACGATGGCCGGGGCACCTAGTGAAACTGTGGTAAAAATTTGCTGTGATCAGCCTCTTAGCAAGAAACTGATATTTCTGATTATTGATCCGTAGACAAGGTTTCAGTGAAGGCATTGCAAACAAAATAGTACTGGATAGTTGTTCTCCAAAGCAAGTAAAGTACTAACATTAAGATATATACAACGCACTGACATCAAGATATCTTTCGTCGAACTTTGGACACCAGTGTGGATTCACTGACATAACGAATCTCAACCAAAGAAGGCGTTACATTAACCGTAAAGGAGTTGGGGCGGGGGTGCCTGAGAACTTCGCTTTCCCATGCTTGATTTGTTTCTAAAACTTTGGATGCAAGTTATTTAAGACACTGACAGTGTAAAGTAATGTGAAGTTTCAACAATCTGGCGTGCATTGGGAATGGCGGTGGAAAAGGACACATTTTTGGATAGACCGTCTTTGGAAACTTGGCTCTGAGCGAAAACCGTAGGTTTGATTTTCACAAATTTGGGGTCAAAATGATCGCAACGAGTTACCGAAAAACCTCTGAAGGCTCAGCTTGAGAAAAAAATGCACTTTGGCGATATCAGAAAACAAAATAATTTACGAGGGGATGGAATCCACCGCCATTTCATTTACGGTTAAGGTGATTCCCATTTCAGAGAAAGAGTTCAAGCAACGAAATAATGTTAAATCTGTCTAACGTTTATTTGCGCTACCTATAGTTTCAAGAATAACCCTAATTTTTAATGTAACTACACTCTAACCCCCTCCCGTCAGATTGACCCAGAATTGGGTCCCATCCGGCGTGACCCTTTTCTGGGTCAAAAAATGACCCCTTTGCGGTTCGTATTTGACCCTTTCTGGGTCATAATTTGACCCGGAAAAGGGTCACGCCGAATGGGACCCAATTCTAGGTCACTCTGACCCAGGAGTTTTAGAGTGTGTCACAACATAGTTTCTGATGTTGTTTGATCTTCAACAGATGGAAACAAACACAATGGTTTCTCATGACTAGCACGTTTACATAACTAAGGACGCAAGAACTGCGCATAAAAAGCTTCGTACTGAAGACGCTGGAATATGTTGCTTTTAAAGCTGCCTTATCTTTAATGTACGGGTCAGAAAAAATTATACGTCGTACGCCAGTGTACACTCACATTAATGTGTGCCCCAACAAATGGTGCCAGCACATACCAGATATTTGATGTTTGATATTTAAAGATGCCTGCTGGTGGTAGGCCTATTTCTAACTGGCATGCATGAGTTTTTTACGAGGACACTGCGGCTAGGTGAAGCTTTTGATTTCATCTTCTTTGCTTTTGGCGATCCAGACATTAATGGTCCAATGAAGACAAGCAATTAAACCTGAGTATGACACTCTCCTAGTCTGGTCACTTGACCCACAGTAGATATTGTAGTTACTTGGCAGACGTGGTCATCATGCATCCTGAGCGAATATCACACATCTTGGCAGACGGCTGTTTTTACCGGTATGTACCGTGGAAAAACAACATTTTTTCCTGTCATTTTGTTGTTGGATTTGGCTGCCAGTGTGTTTGGGGCCCTCACCTTGCAAATAAATTGCTCTATAGCGCTGACAGAATCCTCTATCCAAGGGAACATTATCAAAAATGTTCGAAATCGTTAGAAATAGCTCTTCCGATAAAAAGTCTATTAAAAAGTACGTCATATTCCATAACCCTGCGCTAACTACATGTATCATCTTCGAATAAAAAGTAACCTGTATAAGCTATTCAAACTAAAGTCTACAATAAGATACATGCCGCACGATATAACTTCTCTTGGAAATTTGAGGATTAGGTCGATTATCAATTTCCGAGTAATTAAGAGCGAAACACTACACTATTTCTCTGTTCCCAACTAAATAGGTCTGTATGTATTGTGTACACAATCGCACCCGATCCGACTATGTAAATCCACTATATAGACACAACAAAACTGGCAAAACTGGCTTTTCTTAAAAAGCAAGGGGAAGATCTAACCCACTGTCGACCGTGAAGTCTTCCTTTTCACCCTCTGGCACCTCAACAGCATTGAACTTAGCGGTGAATCCCTTGTAATTATTCGAGTCGTCAGAGACGAACCTGAGCACGAGGTAGTTGGTCCTGGAGTTGATGGTGAACGGTGGCTTGTGGCGGCCACAGTAAGTCGTGCTCGTGCCCAATATCGGCTCTCGCACCTGGGAAGCAGGAAGAATGCACTCGTGCATTAAAGGGCCCAGGCGATGCAATTTGGGGCGAAGTTCTTATGAATTCTCCCCTGCATCCTGTTTGGTCTGATTTCTAATGGTTGTTAGAGCCCATTTAAGGACATTTCGGGTTTCGGTCAGTGAAAGTAACAAGAAAGACATGCCAGATTTTTCTCAGTTTCAAAGTACGGACTCACACAAACATGTTTCCAAGTAAACTTTACATTACAGGCCCCTTCAATTCGGCAAAAGCTCAAAGGAATCACGAAGCAGCTATGCAGCGCTACCACTAGAAAAGGTCAGGCTTCTTACCTCCAGTTGATCTGAGAGGCAGGAGGGTTCTTCCCCCTGCAGATAGAGACGGTTAAAGACCACCTCCACCCGATAGCCGGGGTCCACAATGATTTGGTAGGTGCATCGCTCCCTGTTGCGGTATTTGTTCGGGTAGCCTGGGCTTTGGAAACTGCCACTGTTTGTGGTGAACACTTGATCACACCCTGAGGAGTATGTCATCAAAAGGATGTCTGTCATCAAAAAGGCTAGTGCAAGATTAAGTTTTTTATACAGATATGCAAATTGTTTAAATGAGCGATCTCGTCAATTATCATGTTCTGCTCCCATAACATGCTATTTTGATTACTGTTGCTCAACCTTGTTTTCTGCACTGTCTACTAAACTAAAAAAGAGGTTGCAAATAACTCAAAATAAGATCGTCCGTTTTATTCTAAGCCTAGGTCCCAGATCTCATATTGGACAGGCAGAATTGAATAGGTTGGGTTTTTTAAATGTAAATGATCGGGTAATACAGTGGAAATTGAATCAGGTTTATAAACTTATTCATGATATGGCACCAGATTGTCTTTGTGAGAATTTCAAAAGAGTTTCCAATACGCACAGTTATTCCAGTAGGAGTAGTACAACCAATGTTGTTGTTCCCTGTATAAAGGGGCCTGAATGCAACACTTTCTTCTATACTGGAGTACACTTTTGGAATTTGCTTCCCAATGAAGTAAAAAGTTGTAATACTCTCCGAAATTTAAAAAAGCCGTCAAAATATACCTGTCATCAAAATCCGAATTTTAAAATTTAAATTTGTGGGTTATTTTTCAAAATCTGACACATTTAAAAAAATCGATGTTAACCACCAGTGTATTTTTAATGTTTTTAGTATTGTATAATTTTTTGTGAGGTCCCCGATGTAAATAAGCTGTTTATTACAGCTTTCTTGGGCTATCCTTGGCTTCTGTCTTTTACTATTCTTAGTATTTTTGTGTTTTGTACTGTGACTGTTATTAGGCCTATAAATTGTCTTTTTTGCCAGAATAAATACATAAACAAATAAATGTAGAAAGGTAACTATTTGAAGACAAGAAGGAACGCTTGGGTAACTTTGTCATTTTCAAAAGACCTTTCGATTACCATGGACTTGCTTTATTCTGGAAACCTTTCTTCAAAAATGAACTCTTCGAGGTTCTTTTCTGCCTATGATTCACTTCGAGTAATCAAAAGATGCACTTATTTGTCAATGAAATGTTTGCCGTATTTGCTAGAGATGAAATGTGTTAAACCTTAGGGAATTCACAGCGCAAACATTCATTCTGGGGTCACAAATTCACGTTCGTGTCAACTTATCGCGCTATAGGTACATGTACATGTATGAAATGGTCCTTCGAGTTATCGGCCATCATAGTTATATAAAAAATGTACACTACTGATTTGCTTGGCGACCATATGAAATCACGGAGACTACCCAATCTCTCTATATAGCCGTTGCTTGTTCATATGAGGAAACCGGATGCCACTTCAGCCTACCTTCGGCGACTTCGCCCTCGGGAGCCATGAAATTGTAGGCTAGCATGTACCCATTGCCCGTAGCCACCGTGCGATGCTGGACGATGAGAACGTTGCTATCTAGGTACAAGGTTGTGGCGTAGGTCTCGCGGTCAAAACTTTGGCGGTAACCATCGGCAACGAGTACCAGCTTCTCATCTGCCAAAATGAGGATGTCCCGCCTGAACATTTTAACCGAAATTTGTCATTTCTGTGCGTCCTTACAAAATTCGAGGGATGTGTCATGCAAGGATATTAAAACAATTCTGTAAATTATTGTCCGCCATTACTACAGATAGCCAACGATTTACGGTTGGCTGCAAGATTCAAATACACAACTTTTCAAGAAAACAGAGAGGATATTCTCTTCATCAGACGATGTGATTTAAAATTCCATTGTTCATTCTGACCAACTTAAAGTTCGTTTCTGCAGATGATGGCGATTACTTTCTTTATGCAAAAGGGCTACCTAATTTACAAGTCTTGTTAATATACAATATACAAATAATGAATGCATAATAAGAATAATAATATTCATAAGCTGGCAAATGGAATATGAATGGTCACAAATACACGAATATGAAACATTTATTGTTTATTTTATGCAACGCCTGAATAAGTCCTGAAAAGTAAATATATCCCCAATACAATTCTGAAATTTGTTGTGACCAAGTAAATGGAAATTCCATTTGTCGGTTAAATGGAACCTCTTTTTTGCGATGAGGCCGCACCACTGTGCCCACTACTTTGGGACGCACAATTCCGTGCCATCACGGTGATCGACAATTCATGAATCACACGAAGGGGCTTTATGCGAATGCAGGCGCTGTGTATTTTGCTGTCATGTTTACCTTTTTTAAATGTAACTTACCGATGCCGCTTTGAATGCTCACGTCCATAAGCTTTGCCTTCAACTTACTACCCGGTTGCCCAATCAACACCTGTGTACAGGTCACGTTACCTGTTGGGCTGTTCTTCCTGTTAATCACACCCCACTGATGTTGTTTGACTCCATCACACTGGTCGTTCACAAGTGGGTTGACTTCACCTGTACGTTAATTCATTTCAAAACGTAACCATTGATGTTAATGTGACTGTCAATTTCGAGGATTTTAGTCCAGGCTCCAGCACACTTTTCACGGATGGTCCGTCTATATCTTTGGTCATATAAATCTATCTTTTCTGTGATTGAGGGCGTCTTCCTCGTTGAGTATGGCCAGTTTTTGGGTTCATTTCTAGCACCTTCGACCTGGTTTCAAGGCGCTGAATGTTGATATCTGGTGCATGACGACTTCCAAACAATGTTAAACAGCATCGCTGTGACTAATCGTCGAGCCAACACCACACTCAGGGGCGCGCAGCCCGGGGTTCTCACTGTAGGGAGCGAGTTGAGGGAGCCAGAATGTTATGGGTACTAGGCCTATTATGCTTTCTCTCCGTTTTCCAAATTTCCAGTGGGGCGACTCACTTATTCTTGTGATTACACAATGTTAAACAAACCATACAGCTTTTTCTTGCCACCTTTAATTTACCCAGCAAGTCGTCAATGTTACCATATAATCCAATTGACCAATCCAGTAAGCCCGACCATGGCGTACGTGGACACTTAGCACGTGCTCTTCTCCAATGCCACATGATACCATGTCTATGACATGTACAGGTTCCAGATTCGCGCTTCATACGCGCGTGCATATCGGACTTTCGCGTGTTGGACATAATCAATATTGCGTGCGTTTGATTAGCTTACATGGGGTAACCCTGAGCTGTCTGTGGAGATGGCTATGTGTGCTGTGACAAGCAAGCGAGACGGTGGAGACGAGGTTAAAGAAGAGTCAACTCGTGGAAGCTAAGGTTGAGTTTGGGCGGAAAACTCGTGGGGTTGTGGGATTGTGAATAGTGAGATGGTTTACCAAGCCGGAGACACAATAGGAAGGTTTTTTTAATACAATTAATGATTTTCCATAACACAGTAATGAAGGTTCCTTTTAGAATAAAACAGAATTCAGCCAAGTTATCCAAACATTAACCTTCGAAGAACATACATAGACGCCGCCATGTTGCATGTGACTTGCCACTAACTACCAGCGATAACCGGTTGTTTGTTCCCGGCCGACCCACGAACAACAAATCGAGCTGTTCGTGACCATACGAGAACGACCAACCGCATTGTTTTGAATCCCTAAGGGACAGGTTAAGTAAATAGAGGACTTTTTACAATTGAAAAATGGCTTCATAGAATTTTGTGGCTGGAATTCTTAAAAAAAATGTGCGTAAATTCCCTACAACGAGGGCTGAATTTGCCCATAGTTTTTATTTTAACCGGGCGCTGCACAGATCACGAAAAGCCCGCGTACTTTTCAATAGGACCAGTTGGCCTATGCGTTCGTCAGTGATTTGCATAGCCTACATGTGCTCTCAAAAAACATGAAAATATCGCGCGATACAATTGTTTTCCTGTCAGCGTTTTCGCTTACCGCTTGTCAATGTGAAGGGCCATGTGCAGTTCCTTGGGTCTACGTACCTCGTACAGGGCAGGCCCCACCACACCGGACACACTGATCTCCTTCCGCTCTGTAGCCTTTGCCGCACACCTCAAGGCAGCTGAAGTGCTCCGTAAAGGCAACTTTGGCAAAAGCAAATAGAGCGACACATAATCTTCCATTCTCAAGTTGGGGAAAAACACCATGAGTGTTAATGTTGTTGTTTTGTTTTGTTGTTAAACTAATTATTACTATTATTATTGTTTGTTTTCGTCGTCGTCGTTGTTGTCGTTGCCATTTTCGCTGTCGTCGTTGTAGTGGTAAAGGTATCCGAGTATCCATAACAATATTTACATATTATTTTGTAATTTCTCTGAAAATGAACGGCAAAGGTTTATAATTTTGGCTGTGAACAATTTTCAAGATAAAAACCAGCTAACAGTGGAAATCAAAATCGATAAATGTTCATGACGCTTTCCAAAATTTATCTTATAAAGCCACATACTTCAATCTTGTGTGTATTGGCATACCGATGCACGTGGTGATTTGTCGTTCAGAGTTGAATGAAATATCTGTATGCAGGGATCGAAATACATGATGTTGCTTCCTTATAATAAACCGGATGCCCTTACTTTTAAATCGGGTAACCGGTTCCCCAATACCAGTAAAGGCACAGCTTTAGTCCAGACACTATCGTAGCTAAAACAGTTGTCACGGATATCACGTCTTCAACCTTGTAAAATGAATCTACCGGTCATAACGTGTTAAACAATTCTTACATTTGGGACACTTTTCCACGCACTGGTATCCATGTTGGAACTTGAAGTCTGGATTTGGTTCTAATTCAAAGGTGACTTCGTTGTAGATGAAGGCTGGACCGCAATCAGTTCGGCACCTCCCGTCCAACCTTACGTTTAGACAGTCCTAAAAAGAAGGGGAATTTGTTTCAGAAATAAGAGGGAAGGCTGCTTTCTCATACGAAATTGTAAAAAGTCATCTGAAATTAATGTGAAAACCGCGGTCAACTGACATTAATCCTACATTTATAATAATGGAAAAACTCCTGAGGACTGGATGTGGGGAAGATGTAGGCCTATGGGAGAAAATGTCGAGGTAATTGGTTAACATTAACGAGCGTCCATCATCAGACTCACCCGCCGACCCCGAAATTATTGCGGATGGGACTGAAGTTGTAAGTCACTTTTTCTTGAAAAATGTCTACACCATTTCCTCTGTTCCAAGGTCACAACACTGCTGTCTGACAATATATCTGAACCTTGTGGTGAAAACAATGGCGCAGAATTCAGGAGGTTGTTAATTTGGCTATCCGTGGTCAAGTCACTGCGACTGACAGCAATCTACGACAGGGTCAATTTCAGAGCAGCTAAGACCAGAAATTGCTGAACAAAGGAAAGTTGCTTATCACTTCCCTAAATAAATTTCCTGATTTTTCGTACGTCACTGAGTGTAACAGATGTAAGTCTTAAATTGTACAAGATCTGACGTCTATTCACCGTGCATCCCATGTCAGTCGAGTCAGTACATCCGTCATCAGGTGCACACTGTTCATGGCAGCACTCCTCTGCACCTGGTCCAAAACATCCATTGGTACATTGCTCGTGGCAGCCTGACAGCAAATAAGAGAAGCGAATGGTTATGATGAATCCAGGCCGGTTCTATTCGATCAAAAAATGGAGGCATGCTCACCGTTTCACTGTGTTTTTTTTTATGTTGATGTTTTTGTGTTGACTGTACAGCAGAAGAATACAAATTTCCCGTTTGCTCTCACAAAAGGTAGACTATAATGGATTCAAATATTAAACATATACCGTATGCCTCGTGCTACTTTGCCAGGCTTTTTAGTTTCAGAATGAATTTGAAGCTTAAACTTATCTAGCCCCTTTTTCCTAAAGAGTACCCTTTTCAAACATTTCTAATACCGATGACAAAGTTGGGTCCATCGTTGCGACAGCCGTGTAATGAGCTAAGAGACCACGTTACATTTCTCGTGGTTCACCTGTACGTGTGAACGCACCGATTATTTTCAAGCCAGCAACCAAATGAACGACCATTCCCATTCCGTCCCATGTACTCTCTCCGCTTTTCACACAGTGATGAGTGAAATCAAACTGAACCTTGTCAATGATACCAAGCAAAAAAAAACCAACAACAATAAATCAGAGTATCAGAGTTTCCGCGTGAAGGAGTAAAGAATCCGATTCCAATATCTTCTGATTTTCGTTAGCACAGCCGTCATTACCGCAACTTGAAAACACCACTCGCATTTAATGCAGCTATGAGATTTATGAAGTACGGCATACGTAAAATAGTTACGCTTATTTAGGTTTCAATGTCTGTGCAAGTCATAATTCTATCATAAATGGCTACCTTGTTCTTCCAAGCTGCTGCTATCTACTGACACCAAGAATGCAGGTGTGGCGACCAGAAGCATAAGTAACAACCGTTTTGCCTCCATGCTGTACAAGTTGTTGAAGACACGGTGTGGTAAGTCCTCCAAATTGAGCGAGTAATGAAGATTGGATGCCGGCCGGTGTTAACAGGAGCTAGCACCAGGTAGCAAAGCCGCACATCACGTACGCCACCAATACGTGACCCGGGAGCGAAGTACAAAATGAGCAGAAAAGTCAAGGATTGGCTGAAAGATAACAGTTGACCCACAAGTTTGCCGTGTATGTGCAGGGGTTATTCATCACAAGCCATCAAGGGTTGAAGGTCTGCCTTGGTAGGCCCTAACACCGAGGCCCCTGGAAAGTTTTACGGGGACAGTCGAGCCCAGCTTTGCATGCATGGAATGACAGCTCCGTTTGTGTGGTTATCGAAATATTTCAATGCCTACCGAATTTACATTTTAAAACTAATTTTAACAACATTCTAAATCGTGATGGACACTAATCGCCACTGGTGACCCGTCTGCTCGAGCTCACGGGAGGTAGTCTGGCAGGGGACGTCGTAATACTCTTACGTCCCATTGGTCCTACGTCTGTGAAATATAATGAACAAAGACACATAGCAGTCACTGTAGGCTGATCACCTTTATTATTTCTAAAAAAAGAAATATGAATATGTTATAATTAGAACCCTCTAACAGATCCCCCATTGTGTTGGGAGGCACATATATGGAATGTCACTCTATATTAGGATATCATTTGAATCCGTTAGCCATTATGAACCTGTTAATCAAACGTTATCGGTCACATGATTAATACCGTGCTCAATTTTTTTCAGAGAACATATTAATAAATAACTTTTCAAAAATAGTAAATGAAAGTCATGAATTTCATACGAAATTTCAATTGGACATAAGACTATTTTTCCATCCGACCAATGGGGCGTAGGACCGATGACGGAGCGTAGGACCGACTGGGCGGCGTAGGATAGACCCACGGGGCGTATAGGACCTTTGATCCATTGCACAAAACAGTAGGACTAGTGGGACGTAGGACCTATGTCCTAAACCCCGTTCTTTAACGAAGGTCTATGCCATTCGCTCACATTCACATTACAAAGCAATGCGAAGATGAACTGTAACAATTTTTTAAAGTAGCTCCTATTAAACCATAATGGATCGTCATTTCAAAAATTCCACGGTCAAGAATACAACTGTTGAGGAAAACGGCGGGCGCGTCATCCACGGATTTGCTCGGCTGTTACAAAATAGAGAATGGCTCATTATTATAAGCTATGAAGATACTGACGAGATAACTTAATATGGGGATAATTTTGCAAGCATTACATGTACTTATTCAATGCATGTTTCCTCTATTCCTGCGTGATGTTCTCACAGTTGTGATTATTTTGTTCAATGGTTTTGATTAAACGCCGATTATGGTAGACCATGAGTGAGCACACGAGGATATTGAGCTCCGAGGTACGCATCAAAATTATCACGCAAAGTGGCGAACCTCATCGGTTCCTGCATTAAATGTCACCTCTACACGACCTCATAAAAAGTGTTTTTTATGGCTCGTTACAAGCCTCACCCAAAGTTCAAGGGATTGAGCGCGCAGCCCGATGGAATATCAGTACAGGTTTGCGTTTCACGCTGTTGTCATCCGTTTCGTCGGAGCCGCTACCAGACCAGCCGGTTGCAGGTTGCGGTATCACATGATGGTTACCGAGAAACATTCGAAAACCTCGCCTACACTTGTTGAATATCGGCCCGTCTGTTCAAAGTCGAGCAGATATAGCACTGTGGGTAAACTTTCAGCCGAAGTCGTTCAAAAGGTCACGGAAACATCGCGGGTACGAAATGCTTTGTGCATGTGTCTCGAGACAGACATAACGTGGCCATGAACACCCCCCCCCCACGATAGATCCGTTGGTTCATAGCATGGCAGTACATACACATGTAATACGAATGTACATGTGGTTGTATGTAGAATTAAAGTGGCTGGACAGTTTATATATAGTTGATGCAGATAGGGCGCCTCCACTGTCTTTTTACCTTATCACACATTAACGCAAAACAACTTCAGCTGAAAAACAGGTCACATCATTCGCCATTACCAATTCTGCCTTTATTTGCAATAATTAGTTGAAACACTGCAGAAAGTCAAAATGTCACTGCAACGAAGGTGCAATCTGCAAGCCCCTGAATTCGACCATCTCTGAGTCAGTCGGCCGACTCGAGCAGACTGCCGAGATTCCAGGTTACAGTCCAAACACCTGGCGATTTCATTTTTCATCAATGCATCCGACTCGTGAGTTGCCGAAGCTGTTCGGACACTTGACCTCGGCTGATCCCTTGCTTGCCAAATAATGTTGCCTCCGTCCGAACCTGATTTATAAACGAACATTTTACGCTGCTCACAATTTCATGCTGTATATAAATCCACACACGCCAAAAATTTGGTTGCAAAAGCTTCTAAATATCTAAATAGCCAATAAGACAGTCACATCAAGAAAGTATGCTAGCATACAAACTGCCCAAGTGATACAAGATCACTGTGTATACTACAGAAAAAAGGTTCGTCCACCGAGTACAGATATTTAAATCCAAATACAATGTATAACAATAGCAATTATCAGCAAATCTTGATTGCAATGAAATGCAATTACAACTTCCTTGCCGCTTTGAGCTCAGGTTGAATGTAGTTCTTCACAGCATGAGCAGTGTACTGACACACAGTGAATATGAATTCATCGACCAATTCCCTCCCTGAACTAAGATAATCAGAAGAATCCTTTCCTCCAGCTATTTAAGTTACCCAGGTGATCTTCACATCAACATCTGACGAAATTACTCGGACTATTTCACTTTGAATTTGAAAATGTAAGCCTGAATTTATACTACAATGAGATAATTAAAACATTCAAATTTGTACAAAGTGCGCACCATACATAGCCTTCCGTGTCACCATGGATTCACACAACAAAACAATCAATACCATCCTTTCCCCAAATTGTGAGAACAAGTAGTTATAAAAATGGAACAAGATCCCACAAAATGACTCTAGAGGCCTTTTTTCATTAACGCAAACTCTTTAGGGTGTGTGATTGTAAAATCATACTGAAATCGGAGGTTTTAGCCCTGTTGGGGTTAAGTTTGTTTCAGTTTGCATGACAAAGATGTTGATGTTGGCCATCCTGATGAAAATGGACATTTTTGTGGGTGAAAAATGTTATTTCCTATTGGCACTGTTCAAACTTCTCTTGCAAGCTTTTACTTAAATGTGACTTCAGCACATTTTGTGAGGGTCAGTCACAAATAACAGCATATCTATTAAACATTACTGCTGTAACCTTCATACTAAGTTTGCCACAATTACTTCAATCTTTGTCGTTTTTATTTTAAATGTGTACACCTGCATTGCAGAAACATTAAAGAAAATTCTGTTTACGATGATAAACTTTAGCCCATAGGAAAAAAGAAACTATTTTCTAAGATCTTGCAAGAGTCTAAATAGTTTGCCAATTAATTGCTGTCACATTAAGATACATACTTAATAACTTGTTCAAACTTGTACAGTGTGAAAACAAAACACCGCCATACATGTACATACGTCACCAAATATCAATTTAAACATTAACATAATCAAAACAAAAGAAACTGTATGAAGTGCCCAAATAAAGGAGAAAATATCAGAGTTGTGATCAAAAATCTCAAGTAAGTTCAAAAGAAACAGGTGGCCACCACTGCCAAAGGTTTAAAAACTATGCCTCTCTCTCAGATCAAATAGATTCTTGTAGCTTGGGACTTGAGACTGACCGTCAAAGACTTTCTTACAACTCTTGAATAAAGAAAATCCTTTAAGTTTGCCATTACACCGTACTATATCTACTACTTGTTTAAATGATCACCCGTGTAAATGTAAATTCAACTATTGATCATAATGGGCCGATTACAGAAAATGTGAACAATCAAGTATCAATATTTAAAACAAATTACTGAACTAAACTTTTTTTTTTACTTCCACAGATTTAAGTGATGATAACTGAAGCAGGTAGAACATACATCTGTTGTGAAGATAACAAGTAAGGCACTCTACTTCTTACGCTTGTCCTGTCACACAAAAGAGAGAAAAAAACATTCATTGAAAAGAAGGACTCGACTGGGCCTTGGGGGGAGAGTAAAGGACATGAATCTCAAGTATTTTATGGCCAAGTTCCAGACCTAAAGTTGAAAGCGTCCACTCTGTGAATTTTTCTCAAACACACTTTTGTGCCACTTTATATTCTTCTCCACTGTATGAAATCCATTAGACATCCATTGAAGGTCAAGTGTATTGTAGAAGGTGATTCTTTTTTATAGATATAAAATTGCCAAATATGGAGGGCCTGACATTTCAATCCTCGCAGAATCTTCCACAAAGGCAAAATGACAAGTGGACAGGACAAACAAGCTAACGGAGAATCAACCATGCATGGATGAATGCAAGAGGACAAAGGGAAAGGTCAAGAAAGCTGCAGGCTGGATAAAGGTTGAATGATAAGGTCCCGTAGGTTGCGGGGACACCTGTAGGCCACAAGTGGGGTGTCTGGGATGGCACTGGCTAGGCGGTCTAAAGTGTGCAGGATATGATGATGGTTGTTGATTATTTTGCAGAGGGGAGGAAGACAAGGATGGAAAGTGGTGACCAAGGGGACCCTGGGGGTTGTTCCTTCACGGGGGGTCTTCTCCTTGAGTGCAAGACTTCTAGGGACGGAGCGGGCCCTATTGATAGAGCGTTGAACCTGGTGATAGCTGTGCCCCCTTGCAATCAAATGCCTCGTCAGTTCCTGTGTATGATGAGAGAAATCTGAATAATTAGAACAAATGCGTCTCAGCCTGAGTGCTTGGCTCTATGCAATACCAGTCTTGCAGTGTCTAGGGTGACAGCTGGATGAGTGAAGATACTGATGGGTATCTGTGGGCTTGGAATACACGTCAGTAGTCATGAGGTTGTTCTCCTTCCGGATGCTGACATCGAAAAAGTTGGCCTGATGGAGGGAATATTCCGAAGTGAACTTCACTGTCCTGTGGAAAGAATTGATAATAGTTACTGGAGATGTCTAGACTGCCACTGTCTCTGGTCCATGAAGAGCCAAGCAAAGGAGGGAGCCATGTGGGTGCCCATAGCTGTGCCATGTACCTGTAGATAGTGTTTGCCCATGAAGGAGAAATTGTCCTTGGTTATTACAAGTCTCATAAGCATCGCGACATCACTGATGGGGGAATTGTGTGTCCGCTCTTCATGACAGCAGAGCAGCAGGCACCAATATCTTCTTCATGGGGAATGTCAGTTTAGAGAGAAGAAACAACAAAGGTCCCAATGATGGCTGTGATGGGAATCTGGTTCTTGATGTTTTCCAGCTTACGTAAGAAGTCTGGGGTGTCGTGAATATATGACGGGATCTCTGGAACGAGGGGTTTGAGAAAAGTGTTAATGGGGAGTAGGTAAAACCTAGCGGTTCTACAATCAATGGGGGACAGAAACTTATGAACGTTCTTGGATAGTTGGTCACATGAACGCATATCATCCAGTACCTGCTGAATCTGTTGTGAGAATGTTCCTGTGGAGTCAGAATCGAGGGGGATATGGTTAGTGTGATTGTTAAGTTGGCGATGGGCTTCATCAGTGTATTACTGTCAGTCCATACTTACCACAGCTGAACCATTATCTGCCGGCTTGATGATGATGTTGTTGCGAGAGCGCAGGGAGTTGAGAGCTAAACGCTCATCCCTGGAGAGATTATCATGAGGAGTAAGATGAAAAAGGGCTGGTTCACTGTGGGGGGAGTGGGACAGAAAGTTAGACCCTTGGAGAGAAGTTTGTGTTCAGCATCAGTTACAGGCGAAGAAGAAAGATTGACTAGGTGGAGGTGGTAGATGGTAAGGGTTGGCGCTTTGGATGCCTGAAGTGTCTATGCCTATACGTTGTTTGGCCAAAATGCCATCTATCTTCTTGTTCCTCCTGTCATGAAGAACACAATCAAGATTAGTGAGGCCCATTTCCACCTCAACTCACAGGTTCCTATACACAGCATTGGGGCAGTTAGATTTAAGTTCAGAATCAAGATGGGCTATGTCCTGGTGCAGGTTCTGAAATGTGATTTGACTCTGCAGAGAAAGAATATTGATTAATGGGATAGAGGCACCATGGAGAACTTGATTCCATCTTTTCTGCAGGTGAGGAGAGAGGGTGCGTAAGCATGGGGTGGATGAGAGTTGTAAACCTGTGGGAATAAGACGTGACAAGGCAAAGAACCTATAATTATCCTGGTGGTG